TGTTATCTGTTTCGGGTCTTAAGAAATCGATGCTCGCGTCTGTAACAACCAACATGTGACACTTGTCATTGGTATTGATGACGGCCCTACTTCAGGAGGTTGTCGCTTCTTGTGTTCGTTGCTTTTCATGATGTCTGGACGATGTTGTCGTTTCTTGTGTCTCTCGTTATTGATGATGTCTACAACTTCATGTCGTCTCCTTTGCGTTCCCTTTTCATTTGCATTCACGATTGTCAGGGCTGCAATGACATGGAAAGTGGTGACGGATGTATGATTCAACAAATGCTTTATCACAGATTGATGAATTTTCACACAACCCATTCCAAATGCGAGCACAAATGAAGGCAATAAAAATGACACACACACAACGTCTCTCTCTTTAACAAAATACTTGCCATTCGTCACGAACACGCAGAACAACCTCCACGACATCAAAAAAAAGATTACAAGATATGTTATCTTCATGCTGTCACTCCCGGCAAAAGCAAAACACGTCACAGTTACGATGTAACAGGCCTTGAAGGCAACTTCGATCCCGACCAGCCTAAAAAAAAAAAGCACACACACCCGGAAATGACCTCCGTCACTCACACCCGTCACTGACGGTGGCACCACACTGCAAATCGTCGCAAAGACCTACAACCACACGCGCATCACGAAACCCCCGCCGCCGACGAGATGGACTGTGCCATCGCCATAAACCCCACCCGGCGAAAACCTCCTAAGTGCGGCGCAATGCGAAAGTACAGGAAACTAAAGTGCGCCAGACAAGCCACCGCATGCACGCCAACGCCCACCGACCCATTAACACTCTCTCTCTCTCTCTCTCTCTCTCTCTCTCTCTCTCTCTCTCTCTCTCTCTCTCTTTGCATGCCGCCCGCTCCCGACGACTGCTCGTATTCACTGAGTACCCATTCGCTCCGCCAGTGCATCCCGCAGGATCAGCGCATCCCCCGTCGACGACTCCATACACATCTGCCTCAACGGGCGGTGCATCCCAAGGTCCACCCTGCGACGAACACCATCCGGCCCGACCTCCCACAACAGATTGTCGTCGAACGGGATGCCCGCGTCGATGAGTATGTTGTGCAGAATGCAGACGACGACGAATTGCTGCGGCAACGTCTCCATGTTCGTCTTGTGGGAGCGAAGGAACAACCTCGACATCCCCTTCAATCTGCCGAAAGCCCTCTCGACTGCTCCCCTCGCCGTCTTCTGCTTGTTGTCAAACCGAATCTCCGACGGGTGCTGTGATACACCGCCGTAGGGGACGACTACCCATTCCGAGGGGGGGTAATCGTTGTCGCCCAGTAGGTAGCCGTTTGTTCGCACACCGAAAGGCAGCATGACAGGTGGCCCAGTGAAAAGCTCCCCTGCCTCCGCACGCACCCACAAACTGGACAGGTGGACGATCCTCACGTCGTGGTTGCTCCTCGGGTATCCGGCGAACACATCCAGCACGCGCAAGTTCAGATCGACGACCACCTGAGCCTGGACGGAGAAACGACGTTTTCTGTCGTAGATGTCCTCTCCGGGGCAATTGGCTGGCTTGTCGATGAAGATGTGGGTACAATCGATGCAGCCATGGCAGTTGGGGAAATCCTTGTCAGCGAAAGCGCGCAAGACGACCGCCTTTTGCAGCCCCGTTCGCCACGATATCTTGTCGCGGTACGCACTCAGCAACGCCGAAGTAACATCCCGCACAACCACCAACCCAGACTTTCTGCCAATGCCGAAGCTGCACGTCCCGCTCTCGTACGTCTCCCCCGACGCCCATCTGTACAAAGCGAACGCTACGATGAGGTCAGGCTGAAGGGGCTCCCTATAAAACGTGACACGCCGTTGAAGGAAGGGGGACAGAGTTTCCGCTATCTCCCGGAACACCCGTGGCGACATGCGCAGCTTGTCCTTGAAGTAGTCTTCCGTCGCGTCGTCGCATTGCCGCAGATCCTCCCACGCGTGGGGACTTGTATTTTTTTGCTTTGCCTCTTTCTGTGTTTGAGTGACGTCTGCCCTCCCGCCTCCCCCGTGCCTTCCACCCATTGTCCTTTGATGTTGCCTGGTGTCTTATGCTTGGGGTATCTTTGTGTACTTGCACTTTTCTTTTGTCTTTCCTTGTTTTGTGCAGTTATGTATGGTCTGCCCCCCCAACTCCCCCGTGCCCCCCCGTCTTTGTGCCTTTCTGCAGTCTGTTGTCGTTGCCTCCTTGCCTTTTGCCTTATTGTGCTTCCTTCCCCGCCCTGTGGTGTTTGTTTGATTGTGTGTGTTCCAGTTCGTTCCGTCTGCACCACGCCTACAAGTTCTTGTGCCCGAGCTTGCTCGTGTAGTCCGGCATAGTCATTCCCCACCTCCGAGTACCGGATGTGTCTGCACCACGCCTACAAGTTTTCATTCTTAAGGTGCGCCGATATATTATTTCGGAGCTTGAGTATGATGCAGTTTCCGTATCATACCGTAATCATGTCTTATTATGCGGGTTACACACTTACACACACACACACACACACACACACACACACACACACACACACACACACAAACACATATACACGCACGCACACGCGCACACTCTCTCTCTCTCTCACACACACACACACACACGCACACA